GGAGTCGTTTGCACCCTGGGAGAAAGGGCACTAAGTCATTTCGCAATAGTGCATCACAGTTATACATGCGCTCAATTTCATCTCAATGCAAGTATACGAAGTTGCGGGGCGGAGGGAAAGCAGCTGCAATATAAGTATGTTTGGATTCCAGATCAGATATCGATTAGGTTGCTTTTTGTCAAGCCGGGGGGGGGGGGTTATAACTTAACTGATCGCGAGCAGACAAACAGGTTACCATGTGTATAGCTTTTAATTGATCATTTAATCTTCTTGTATTAAATTGTGTGATTTACAGGAGTCTGTGCTTAAATACAGGATATGAGAACTCGCCAAGCCATTTTCTGTTTCGAGTTACCCACCAATTTTCTTATATCCGGAAAATACGATTGCCATTATTATATGTACCATAGTTTAGGGGTGAACCCTAGGTCATGGTCGGGGTTTGCCAATACTATTGTTACATCTAGTCTGTTTATTAAATTTGTGTTAAATTATCATTATATTTCCAATGTGAATATTCGTGGTATATTTTATGTCTAGCTAGACCGGAAGTGGGAATTTGTTACTACTCTAAGTATATCCAAACATATTTTGGCATAAGGTAGTAACTACCCAACAATGTGAGCCAATATTAACATAGACCCTGTCGTATTAACTAGTGTTTGTGTTTATCGTTTGTAAACTTCAAGGGGACTGTGTTTAATATTGCATGGGGCAACCGAACATAGCGGACGTTTCAGCAAAATCGCTATACCACTGACTGGATTGGGTGTTATGGTATATGCACATGATCACGGTGAGTGTAATATAAGTGATGCCGATAAGTTAAAGCACGCTTGATTGGGTATGCTGCAGTGAATTTGTGTCATATATTCCAAAACTACGACTGTCATGTCAGCTACGGAGCTCGACAGTCGCTGCTGGATGACAGAGGCGCTTGAGTCAATAATATGGTCTAATCCTCGTATTTTACAGTTGGTCATGGACAGAGTGAGGGCGATCGAGTCGACATTACAGACTTCCATATATATGTACGGGACACCCTACAACACGTTGACATTATAAAAGAAAAGTATCCAAAACTACCGATCTTTCTGATCGGGAATTCCATGGTACGTTATTTGCATACTAAATTTACCAGCTTTCCTATATATGAGTGAATTTCATTTGTCGTTTTCAAGGTGTTCATAATTTGCAGTTATGAGTTATTTTTTTTCAGTCGAGCATAATGAGCAATTTTATAACATATTTCTTTTCACATATTACGAATAATCGTAATCGAGTATATTCTACATATGATAATGTTGCTATGGCAACAAAAATGTGGACAATGCTATGATTGAGTAAGTTTGTTAAAATAAAAATCTTGTTTCTGTGTGCACACAATGATTATTTTCATATACATCTAGGTCTATATGGTTACGTGTAATTTCTTTATGCTACTTTTATGTATAGTTTGATATTATAAATATTGCTGATGCCATGGCAACCAAACAATTTATATAATTACAAGTATACATAGTATACTATTCACATTGTGAATCATTTGAAATTTTCTGTTCTGATTTATTGACGAAAGCAACTTATGGACGCGAAAATGTTATTTAATAATATAGCCGCCTTTTACCAATTTTGTATATTGCACAAACCTTCTTCATCAGTAATTTAAATATATATTAAAATCGTACACAATTGGGAGTTTAATAACATACCCAAATTCATTGGTCAGTGTAAATGCAGCGCGAAGAGAAATCTCAGCCACGCGATTTCATTATGATTTTAAATTTACAGAATTTGCATTCAATCAATCTACGGTCAACATCTGACCGTGCTGAGATTTGACTACCGCCTTCGTAGCTAGTAGCGGCGTTAGTGAAGCTGCGTAGAATAGGACGCCTCACATATTCTAAGATATCTTCATGTACAATGTTACTTATCCTAGTTGCATAAAACAACAAATTATTGTAACCACTCTAAGAAATAATTGACTGGTATTCTTAATAATTCAGGGCGGTGCAATTGCTATCCTGACGGCTATGGAGAGGCCCAAACAGTTCACAAGTGTTGTCACGATTGGACCGGCTATTAAATTAAATGAGTCATTAATTTCTGATTCATATGTAAGTTTATCCACATCAATTTTTTTGTTATTTATGAATATAAATAAGAGACGTAATAGTGATATGGATATAATTTTATTACAACTAACACGTGACCGATATTCATATAGTCATGTAGTTGTAACGTACAGACAAAAACAAAACATATACATACCTAGTGTCATGTATCTTCATGTTCAGCTGTTACAGTATTCATGTTGTCAAGTTTATGATTCCTATTGGTTTACAGCAAAATAAGAAAATAATCCCAGAAACTCTGACAAGAGACCCTAAAGAGGTGGGTATACGTAAGTTACTTATCAACACATCGCTTTCCATCAAATTGGTGCGTGTGTTTTAATTACTTGACACATCACATTTAATATACATACATTTGCACGAAATAAGCTGACCCTGTCTCATGAATAATGCATAACAAATTGATGACCCCCTTCCCGCCGTCGGACATTGTTACTTTTCATAATTACCATTAAAAGTAAGACACTAATATTAACTGTATCATTATTACTAATCGTACGTATCCTTAATTAAGAGGTCTAAGAAAACTAAATGTCTATGATAGAACATCATAAACTATTTTGTATTACAAATCACATAGATCATTTAGTCGAATATAACATCATATAATTGAAGCCATATGTCAAGGATTATTGCTGAACCAACTGAAACGCACGATATGTACTTGTTGTGCTACAAATCGCACACTGACTTTGAGCTGTTTTTGCAAGTTGCAATATTATTTGAAATGCAAAATACATAAATTAATAATATGTTAACACAACAACATAATCAACATAACTTCAACATAATCAGTTAATCTGAACCTTAAATATTTCATGGAACAGATCATTCTAGCTGGCTCCATATCTACCAGACGACAAATCCCGACCTTGAAGAACTCATTTCTGGTAATCTTCAAGTTCATAATCATTCATTGGTTATATCTACATCAACCCATTATGTGTTCATCTCTCTGGTCGTAAAATTAACACTTCCAGTCAAAAACCGCTAACCGTGTCTTACATTCCCAGCCAATTGTCAGTGTATTTTAAAACCCTTATATTCAACTCTCCAGTTAGTACACTTTGGTCTCACTAATCCAGTTGTAATCTGCACAAGTAAATGTTTTTACAATATTTTTACATAGATTAGACATGCATAAAGGCATTGCCAAATACGAACACAATGATAAAATGAAAATTGTTCATGAAATATTCTGCAAACAATCACACTATCAAATACGTGATATAACAGTTGAGTTCTTCCTCTATATGGCTGCATAGATTATTGTAACCACATTGCATCATCATTAATGACCCCCCACCCCATCCAAAAAAACACCAGCCCCTCTTCTTGTAATTTCTGCACAATCATTAACGTAAAGACATTTAAAAAAAATGAGTTAGCGATCAATATCCAGTCGAGTATTCAATTAACAGTTATGTGTTTCTTTGTTTTTTCAATCTTATTTTGATTATTTGATTTATTTCTACTGTGACTAATAGATAGAGTTATTTCGAACGGATCCACTAGTGTACCACGACGTGATGAAACCACGGTTCTTGTCTCAATTGCATAGTGCAACTATGGAGATTCAGAGCAAAATGGCGTCCGTCTGTTGGTCATTTTTTATACTGCATGGAGACGCTGATGTTCTGTGTGACATAGAAGGCTCAAAGATGATGGTAGAAAAAGCACAGAGCACTGACAAGCGCTTACAGGTAAGTATGCATTAAAGGGCGGTGGTCGTCGCGCCACGCATGTGCGAGATATGGGTCTTATATGAACAAAGATGGCGACTTTGACTGTTGCTTAGAACAACAAGTACAAACTGAGACGTTACCAAGCGTTAATTAGATAATTCGTTACGGTGATTGGAAGATATCGAAGAAGTCGCCGGCGGTAATTAGTGCAAGTCGGGCCCAGGTCAAAATTCCTACTTGTGATTTTCATTAAGAAGAGCGCATTGGATTGTGGGAAAATTAATGTTTACATTTTACGCCGGTGTAACAACACAAATGTCAGACATGCGCGGCGCGACGACCGCCACCCTTTAAACACACTACAAACTTGGATGCAAATTTCATTTCTGTTAATTTTGAACAAGCAACGAGTACTCTGACACATACAATGTTCAAATATTCCCTGTTGATTGCTTCACTCACTGCACAGTGAACCAGTGAATATATATTTAACAGGTGACTGCACATCGTATCATTTCGTTTCCACGCTGGATTTACTTGACACTTACAATTCTATATACGAATAATTCATTGGCCCGCCCCTCACTCTGTCCGAGCAAAAAGTGTTGATAGGGTGTTTCTGATATTTATTTTGTACCAGACACAGCCATGACGACAGAGACACTGACAATCCAATCATATTTTAAACATTGAATTGTATACAACCCCATATATAAGTTGTATGCTACGTGTCTAGCATACTGCCTTCTGAGTGTATATTCATCGAAAATGTTTCTGTCAATGGTTGGATTAACCACGTGGAGCGAGAAATAATCCACAGTGTACTTCAAATACTATTAGCATTTTACTATTGAATAGGATTAAGCAAATTTACTACAGTTCTAGTGCACGTATTTTTTTATTAAATATTTTAATATTTAAGTAGTTAAATAAAATATTTGCATTTTTTGTTCAAGGTATATCCCGGGCATTATCACGCATTGGCGGCTGAGCCGCCACAAAACGCAGTGGTTGTCCTGAGAGACATAACATCGTGGATTGGAACGAGATTACCATAAAATCAACTCAAACTAGATGAAGTTCATGGAATAAACTAACGCCGGTCGTTTGTTGCCGTTTGTACTAACCATGTGATTATCGCATGCTTATTATCACGTGACATTAACATTCCCGTGTTTATCTCATTATTACAATTTGCCCAATATCAGCACCTATACAATCGCGAGATACAAGTCACTAGTGTAAGAACACGTCGACATATAAGTTTTCTCGGACCAGGAGTTATGTAACACGCAAAATTTGGTGGCGAGAGCACGAATGGGAAACTAACTAACATAAAACAATTATGAATCCCTCACAGCGCTATATTGAATGAGGTGAAGGGTCCATGGCAGGACAATGTCCGAGGCGAAGCCAAACACATTATCACGCTTAGACCCTTCTTGGAATCAGAATTAAACAAATTTAGTTAACGTTTGGGAATTTTTGTTAAAATAAAATTGCTTGCGAATTGATGTTTTCAGTATCGTGTGGTAATGTATAATTTTGATTTATAATGTGTAATATTAGACATTTATGCAACGAATATTCTATTTGAATTCCTTAATTTTCAAAAGTAATAGTCTGTGAAAAGTGTACTATATGCCGTAAGCAGGCGACAAGATAAAAAACTGTAACTTGTCTTCTTTTTAAATGGTAAATGATAGATTGTGGATGAGTAGCTTATAGTATCAATGTAAGGACAATATTCAAATTAAACCTGTACTATTTCAACATTTTAACGTCATCGCGTTTCAAATCGTCTTCTCACGGCAAAGTTCGTCCCACCAACCAGAAAAGATAACCTTCATTTCTGTAATTTTTTTCCACGACATAACAAGGTACGATTTTCGTAAACAATCGGAACAATATCACGCACAATATCACCATTTTTGTTTCCACATAAACAGTTACAATGTCATCTTGCGAACCGCCGCTAGCGGGTGCGGCGTTTTATTTAACACATTTCCAAATCACACTTGGAATCTAATCAGATGGATTTGGAATCACAATCAATAGCATTGCGTAGCCCGAATTTCGTTCAGTGACGATATTTATTGAGTGATGAAATTTAATCGTTGTTAATTATTTTCTTTTTTATTTTACTTTTTAGTTTTTTGTGTTTTACGAATATGTTTGACTTTATATTCTGTGCACGACATTCAAGTTTATGGACGCTTTGACGGAGTTTTAGAAAATTGTAGATTGAACTCCAACACGTGTATAGGTGAATGTTCAACGTCAAAGGGGACCGCATACAGTGATAACTTACAATGACGAAAATAACAATGTACACAGTCGTGCGTTTTTCCATAAGTAAATTACCTCTGCGTCTGTTTCTGAGAAAACAACTCGACGTATCACCGATGTATAATAGTCTGTGTGAGTGATATGGAAAGACAGTTGATACAGACAGAGGGACATGTAATTATAGTCACGGACAAATTGCTTATCGAATAGGGTGCCCCGTGGCCTGCCTTTGCGTAGAACTGGAAATTTAATTCGATATCTAGGCTTTCGAACTTTTCTGTTTGATACCCCTCATCGTTTTCCTGAAATTCACGTAGACACGATGATTATTGTCCCGCGGCTAAATACATCGCAGCCACGCAGTGTTGTCTGAATATTTGATTTGCATGCATACGGCAAATTTACGTCATTCAGCAAGCGGAAAACTAGGGCAAGTCGTGACTATCGAAATGAATGGTACAAGGAGCCGTGTTCTACCGTATGGCGATTGGTTACCCGGAACAGTTCTGTATCGTCATGCCTCGATATTTACAACAGACTGTTTTTTTTTTTATCGTGTTTTTTCCAACTATATCACAACTTTAATTATTCAAATCAGATCTTTATTATGCACAAAATTAGTATGTATCAATATGTTGGTAAAAGTAGGGTTCATATTGGTGAATGAATAATGAGTAATCTCAAATCACGTCTGCTTTCTCATTTACGATGATAGCCTGGAAGCTAATGCACATGTTGGGTTACTGAGTCAATGACGTATAAATCTGAAATATACACAACTCATTTCAATATGCGTAATAAATATGATATCCATGGGTATATATATGCTATGTTCGCACTAGAAAATTTACGCCGGCGTATGTTGCGCTCGGCCACAGTCCCTCCACAGGGCGGGACTGTGGCGGCGGCAAATAAAAATACATGGTCTCATAACTTTGCATTCACACTGACAGTCTTTGACTCGTCTTTTACAAAGTGGTAGTGTTGACCCGCAGATTGTCATTTTTTTTAGATGATCATATATTTTAATTTATTTTTAATTTATGTCAAACACGCAATAGTCATCAACTTTGGTCGTCTGACATGCCATGGGTACGTAGCTCTTTGGTCAGTTCGCAATTACAAAGTCATTTTCCGCCGGTGTAAACATATGTTTTTATCTCACACGGACGCAGTAAACACATAAAATAGTGGTCCGGAATGTGAATACGTTAACAATGCAAAAGACATCAAACTGAAACTGTCAAGTCACCGATAAAAGCTGGCCTTGTGAATCCTTTATTGGCGTAAAGGTGAGTAAAGTGACGCAATTCTTCACAATTTATAGTATTATGTGACACTGACATTAAAGTTAAAACAAAACAATTGGTTCACCTCATAAATGTCAATGACAAATTGCGTAAAATAATATCTTGTAACTTGAAATTAACATGTTTTGACCGTTATTAATACATTTCACCATTGCTTCCCCCCTGTGACATTGGGTGTCGTTATGGCTGAACATGTGCAAGAGAGAAAAAAGCATCCTTAAGAGACTGAAAAAACATATCCAACTCAAGACCGTATTTTAAATAGTAATCATATTATCCCAAATTCAAAATAAGTAGAAACTAAAAGCATTGAAGAACGTGCGATAATTGAACTCAATAGTGATTTTAAAATGAAACTAGTCAACCGTTGTAACTGTTTGCATAAAACCTTTTCTTTTATAATACTAAAATTAGTCGAGAAATCGAAAGGATTTAGTATTGATTTAGATAAGGAATGATGTAACTGCATTTCTTCATCTCCATTCAGGATTTCATGGAGCTTTAAGAACGCAAAGGTCGGTTGTTGCATGAACAGGTGATCTAATAAATAAATAAGAGTTTACCTCAATTAGGCAATAAACCATCACCCGGCATGGTGTACCACGTGTGGTTCTTGCAAACTCGTGTGGTGTTCCTGTTCAGGCGATCGTTTATTGCTATATTATACCGTAATTTTACAGAGTTGGTGTGCGTATTAGGAGAACAAATGATACAAAATAAAATCCAAATTAGTAAAACAAAATCAAATAACAACGAATTGTTACTTATTTCGATGCACCGAACGTAAAATGATAACAGAGCGGGTCGTGGAATCAGCATTCCTGACACGTACCATTTTAGATATATCGAGCGGTAGCGGAAATTTAACCCTCTCGTAGTCGTAAATCTATTTATTTATTAATAGATTTAGGTCTATTTCCTACATATCGACAGAATTGCCACTATAATAATTAACCTATTTTTTTTTTTTAAATCGGTTGCCGAACTACATCATAGTTTATGTTATACCAGTAAATGTATACCAACATGTTGAATACGTCGTTGTGATTGGTCAATATGCTGCAGGTGATCAATGCATATATCCGCAATATATCATTACTATGGCTACGACGTTCTTATCCAAACCCGAATAATGATTGGAAAATATAGTATAAACCGGTAACATTCAAGAAACGAGGTAAAAGTAGTTTATTTATTTTCAAGAAAACGAAATCAAATTTAATGTAATATTAGAAAATAACGCCAGGATTGCGTCAAATCTGCTAATAACAGCTCGTTCGTATAGTCGTGCTTCTGTGCAAAATCTCGTGATATGCCATGCAGGGTGATGGTGTATTGCTTAAATAAAAATTATAATTGTTTGCAGATTGTTTACAGCCCCGAGATTCGCCATTAATTAAAATTTGATGCTAATTCTAAAATGTAAAAGTGAATTCCAGAATAATATATTAAATAAAAAATCTTCACTGTCTATTCTTTGCTGTATATGACGCAATACAAGTTTCGAGTTGTTAGGTGGCCGTTTTACTAGGCGTTTAGTTTCCACAGTAAAACGATGGATTTCATATAAGCAATCGTGAGTACTGTACATTTATTTGATTAACGAACATTGGAATCTGGACGGGCACCAAACGGGGTGTGTTACTAAAATTGCGCCCTCTGCCACCATAGCTGTAATTAGAAAACATGTCATGATGCACGTAATCTATGCGGGGTTGTTTGCTCTAATTTTGTCTCTAATGGGTACGGTTACGACGCATGTCCAATAAAAACACTATAAATAAAAGGACAATGTAAGTGGAGTATATTATCTAGGCAATCACCTGTACAGACTTTCCAATCTAAGACGTCATCATAGAGAAATGGCAAGGTTCGAATCGAATTTTGTCAATATTTCCAAAGGTTGAACAAGAACTCCCACTCATATCTAAAATTCCAAAATATCAAACTTACCTAAGCTGTTTTTGTTCAGAAATACCTGACTACTGTAAAACACGTTGAAAGAACTACATGCCATTTTAGCGATTTTGACGAATTAACAGGATCTCCATTCAGCTAAAGTTTCAACCATCTAATTGGGATATACTCATTTTAAATTAGCGACATTTTGGGTTATGGAAATTAGCTAAATTACAGTATTCATTAATCTACATATGCATGATCCAAAAGCATTGCGTGTTCCTATTCTGCATATGAAAGACAAATGTTGCAGTTTGTTAATCTACAAACCCCAAAACACAGAGTTATGTTCCAGAAATACATACAGGGCCGGGACAATGGTTCGTATGGCCAAGAGTGGTATAGGAACTCTTTACTTGAGTATTATTTCACATAGCCGGCATACAAAAAAATCACATCTCATTTCTGTGGTTCCGGTTCTCTATATGTTATTGCCACGTACATATACCACAGGCGAACACACTAGTTACGTGACAGCGACAGATACTATACAAAAGCAACTACAAAAAGATCACGTGTTAATTGACAAATCGCAACCCAGCCTCTAAATCTGTTCAGAATTCAAACTGGTAATAGACGTCAGATCTAACATTTTCTTTTAATACCATACTTTTGTAAAGTTTTTACTTAGCAATCCTCTGAGGGGAGAGTCGATGTGTAGGAATGCTAGTTACCCATTTTGAAAATGTCATTGGTGTTGCGTCACTGGCGACGAGTATTGTTATATGAGTATTGTGTTTTTTATTTTTATCAACCAATCATAAAATAAACGCTAACAAATAATATAATTTATTATCTTGTTAACTGGTCATATATCTGAGGCTTGCGAAGTTCAAATATATCTTACAGTGAAGTGATGATAAAATAACAGACTTCTTCACCTCGTACGCCGTAGCAACAATTTGACCGATATAACTATATACGATCGCGAGTGCTGAACACTTCCAACGATGTTATAATACTATATTCAATCACTTAAACTTCACTTAACTCTGAATCGAATACAGCTCATGGATCGTAAGCTTATGACGCACACATCGTAGATATAATCGTTAAAAAAAGTAATGAAAACAAGATATGGGTCACACGGACAGAACGTAAATAGTAGACGGTAATCAAGTGAGTCTAGCGAAGAGCAACGCAAGGTTGTTAATCTCACGAAGTATCATCAAATGCATTAGGAGTCGCAGTAAAAAGCAGCATACCAATTTATCAGATTTGAACTGAGTGCATGGGATCATGTGGTGTATTCAACACTGACGATAGCGTGCCATGAATAGAGTACAGTGATTTAGTTGTTGCTATTATCATATCTACATAGATATATTGATCTGCGGTATTCATATACGAGGAACTATTAATATACTGTTTTTTTTTAAATCAATTACATTACGTTTGTCGGTCATGTGTAATATGGTTGCATTCTCTATATTGGCCAGGGGAATTTCATATATATGTAATTATGATTTTTAGGGGGGCAAAGGGGTAGCTGGTACAGAAAATAAAATGGAAAGTTCCATTTACAGTACTAGTAAAAAATAGGTTTTTACACCATAAATAAAGCAAATTCCTAATTACATTTTACATTTTTATTATATATTTGATAACTTGTGTTTAAGAATCAAAATTGGAAATTGCGTAAAAATTACAACATTTAATGTGGAAAATGCTTTATACTGCTCAAAAGAGGATCTTTGTACAAATTACGGACGAATAAAATAGCTGATTACATTTTACAACTTTCCCGTGTCCATGAATTTACGTTTTTCATTTATTTAAATTACATTATGAAAATAAAAACAATTGATTACAGCTTACGAAAATACCCCTTGCCGACTCTCTTCTTACATTACGGTGGTAACCTCTAGGTTAAATGTTACCATGCATACCACGTAACGGGGGTACAGGACAGTGAAAATGGATTTGGCGTGTTGTATAACAGGCCGACAGCGGGCGCACATTATGGAAGTTGCCGCATGCTTCAGTATATGATTTCAAATAATGAGACTATTTCATCGGATCACGCTGAGAGAGTCCTGACCTACATTAAATGCAAACAGAAACCCCTTGAGGTTTACATCTAAGTGGCGACTTCGAGTGCTCTACTACTCGAACAAAATACAGTGAGAATATATAAACGTCAAATGTACTGAATAAATCAAGTTGAAATTATAAAACATGAAACCGTTACTTGAATAAAAATGTGTTACAATGAATAGTTTCTATAATTCCCGTCCTCTAACGAGGAATCACTCTGACGTCATATATATTGACAACATCGATGTTGTTTAGATCTGTCGCGCGATCTGCCTGCCACATTCCAAATGATGAAACGTACCCGACATTTTCCTATTTGAACGACATTAAATTACGTCATTTTGACATCACTGAAGCGCATCGTGATCGTTATGCGTCCATCTCAATATCGTCAGCAGGTTGATAAGACGATTGCATTAAGTGTTGCTTGGGGAGAGATGTGCTTTTTTTCTCGGTTCCCACAGTACGGTCAAACAAACATTCAGGTCATTGTCGTCTTTAACATTTTAAAAGAGAGACATAAAAAGGCGGAAGGGTAAATAATAAAACGAAAGAAAAAGACTCATTAACCCAGAAAAATGTAAAAGCAAACTAAATGTACCTACAAACTCTTGAAAAACCTCAAGAAGGCAATACTCGAAAAAAAAATACATGCAATACCTATATTCAAATGATTACATATTATAATAAATACAAACTATCTAATGTTATCAGCCTGATTTGACTAAGAAATTACTAGTGATGTATGTGCAGGTATTTCGAGCATATATATCAGTGATAATAAATATTCCGTGTGAGTGTCTGTCTATTGTCAGTCGATTCAAATGTTAGTCAGTATTATGTGGACTTTTTGTTCACTTCCAAAATAACATGCTCAACATCAAAGGCAATAGTGAAAATATTTCGTCAATAAACCACCGCTGAAATAATTGTAATTATTTCTACTGATACAGGAATAATTACCTCAAAAGAGTAATTTTTGTCATGTTTTTGCCATGTTAGAAGGTGTTGTGAGAACGAAACAAACGGATACAACTATGAGAAAGTTTTCGTTCCAATTACAAAATATGTATTGCTTATATCAATCTCCTATGTCTATGGGAAACCCAAAAGAACAAATTATTGATATGACACGATCAGCCATTTTGAATTAGAACTTGGAACGAATGCGTGCTTACATGTCAGACATGATGTATATGCAAGACAAAAAAACATTCAAGGTTTTAAAACAGTATTTATAAAAACAAAATACGGTAGCTATGTGAATGTGAATGAAATCTATTTTGACGATTGTTAGCTTTAAAATGGCAGCTATTTGGATATATTGAATTTGATCTAGAAACGAATTCGTATGTACTAGTGTGACATGATGTATAACGTGAACTCCCCCAGTTGTCAATTTTTAATCCGGTTGTAAAACTAAACATTTACTATTGAATAAGGCAATAAGTAGTATGAACAGTATGATAAGTAAATGCGCTGAATAGGATTTCTTAATCAGGTGAACACACCAGCATATTAAAATAAAAACAAAGGTAGTATTCCAACTATTTATAATCTACAAGCATTCAAAATGTGCAACAATAAAGATTACAAATATATATATGTTGTAATTGCTACACAAATTCAGATTTCAAACTAATGTTTCCTTGTAGTAATTTTTGTATTGAAATAATTGTAATTCATTGGATTTAGAACATATTTCTAAAGCCGAGTACAAAACTGTTCCAAAAGAATTACAAAGGTTTGTATACTTCAACAGAATGCAATAAAAGCATGGTTTCCCAGAAAACAGGAGACATTAACACTTATATGTTTAACATTATATACCGGTATATATATATTATTTTTTCACTCTGGGTAACACTGCGAACTTTATAAAATCTGTCAGTTTGGATCTTGAAAAGTCAACTATTTAGTGACACAGGTATATATTAATTTTGTGTTTTCAAAGATGAATCACTGTAATCCAGAATCTGAACAAAATTATTGGATTTGTTTGGATTCAGTTTTAAATCACTCCAATCCTGAAAAGTCAACTATCTAGTGACACAGATATATATTAAGTTTGTGTTTTCGAAGATGAATCATTGTCATCCAGAATCCGAACAAAATTATGTGGAGACTTTTCCTCTGTAAATTAAGTAAAAATGAAGATTTTATATAATTCGAAATAACATTGTTTTAAACCAAATTTCACATTCTCATAGTATATTTAATAGTCATATTGTACATAAAGAGGCTATAGTGATATAGCAAAGTCACATGGAACAAACATTCTGTTTACAAAGTTGACAGAAGTTGTATTTTGGGGGATTTGCAGCGATTTTTTTTTTGCACAATCAATATATCAACAAATTCCAATAAAATTCCTTTCTAACTACCACACTTGTTAAAATGAAATAAAAACTAGGTACACACAAGTGAATGTTTCTCATTTTTTTCAATATTCCAAGTCTATTGAAAATAATATTAAAATTAATTTTAAAAAAACTAACACAGAAATAAAAATATACTAATTGTAACTTGTAAATAAAGATAAAACCAAATTAAGTTACCGATCAAAGCAGTTGGAAAAGAAATTTTCAAGACGGCTACTAATTTGCACATAAATTCCTTGTATATCTGACTTCTCCCAGTATTTCCAAACTTGATGGCCAATTCACAAATCAATGACAATTATTAAGTTTACATACAGATGAATACTAGTACATCTTTCATTTCATTAGAACAGAAACAATTCACATCATGTCATGACATAGTCCCTGTTAGTTAAACAGTAAACCAAACTAAAATGAATCAGCCAATTTGAATTAGAACATGTAACAAGCAATAAGAGAGTAAGTACTTGCTTTCCCAAGAAAAAGAAAATACAAGTTTCCATTTCTTTTCAAGGCATGAAGTCAACTACACTTTCTGGTGTCTTCGATTTTGACATTAAAATGGTCGCCATTTGGCCATCTTGAATCACATCGTGAAACAAATATATGTGCATATGTATCCCAAGAGGTATGATGATGTGTGAAGTTTGAATGTGATCAGCCAGACACGTAGAGATAGAGGTGGACATGCATGCACGGAAAAATGGTCAGACTGACTCAGAGGTCCTTGTTTTCAGACAGCATATAACTAATAATACATGATGATGATACTGTCATGTTTGGAAGAACAAGAAAGAAGCTGGTTCCATGTATACATATATGTCAGTTTCATTATTACGGTAATATATATATGATATATTCCAATCATATAAAACCACCTTGCTTCTAACAAATTTACTAATAAAGTACATAGGAGTGTCAATAATGAAAATTACTAGCATGAAACGCACACTGGTAATACACCATCTGAAACCACAATACCATACACTAAGAGACGGCATACCCTTCAAATTATATGAAAAAAAACACTTCTACTGCATAACCTTGATCATCAACACAGCAAAACTCAAATATTCCATTAGTGATAATGATTTTTTTTTTACTTTGGTTCAGAAATACAGTGTACACACACAAAGAAAGAGGTGATTGAACCAAGGATTAAAAACATACCCGGTGATATTGTGTGCTATAAAAAGTCATACCGGTACACACATCCCTGCTTCGAAATTCAGACCTAAACATCTATAAAATCTGTGAATGATCCAATCTTAAAACTTAATTTAACACTCCACACCAAGCCTAATAAGAAGGTCATCTAGTGCAGCTAACTTTTCATTGGCTTCTGCCATATCGCTGTATGTTAGAATGGTACTGGTGATATGATATCGTATATCATCAATGATAGGTATAGAGTCTGTCTCCTGCCGTTCCTGTACACTAGAAGCATCCTCCTGTATCAACTCAGCAAACTCCTCTGTATAGATAATCTGCAGATAACAAAGAGAACATGTATTCAGTCAAATACAGAATATTTGAATTCTACTGGACTATATTATATAAAAATCAAAACATTTGTTTTTGTTCTCTTAAAAGCACATCTTCAATAGAAGCAAATTTAAACTAAAATTGAAATTGTTGTATACTGAATCATCATACCATACTCTAGCCCTGCGTACAGTGCTGTGTGTACGGGGACGCGGTCGGTTGATAGATGTCCCCACCACAGCCCTGCGAACTTCCATAGACAAAGTTCGGGACTTTGAAAAATATAACTTTTTCAATGAAATAACATGCCCAGGTACCAAAAATGATGATCGATTACCAGATATATCCAGAACTCCTAGTTCGGAGTCCAATTGTGGATGAAATCGGCTAGTTTGCCCTAAAAACAAACGCATTCTCTCGCGTGAATGAAATTAAAAATGGCGGCGTTTGGTGGATAATCCTCCGGTACCT